TGTTGTATCTCCTGTTTCAGAATAATGGAAGAAAGAAAGAAAAGTAGTATCTCAGTTTCCAAATATTACACTAATATACAGCTATGTAGGTTACATGAAAAATTATAATCAACAACGGAAGAACAAAAGTGCCTGGCCAGCTCTCTCTCAAACGCAGTGAATTTTGAGTGGGCTGTGGTGGTAAAAATCAAGCTGCAGAAAGGGTGGACTCTCCCAGTGGCACAAGTTTTATCTCTTTTCCGTGAGATTTGTGAAGCAACCCTTATATAACAAATAAAGACATAAAGTGTAGCATAGAATTTAGATTTAAAACATAGAATCTTTGAAGTTTTTAAGTTATCACATAAGATATGATGCGCCTGTATGTGCTGTACACAAAACTACATTAGAATTGCATAGTTAAGCAAACAGTCAAGCATTCAAGAAATAGGAATATAGGAAGTGGCAGTAACAGTATCATCTATATTTTCTTGTTTTCCCTTATGCATATTTATTAGAGTAGGGGTCCTAATTACATTACTTCTTTTCTAGAGCTCTCACCTCCATCAGTGCTCTGAATAAAATTCCTAGTTAAGATGAAATTTAAAAGAAAAAGGATGAAATCTAGTAAATGGAATTTATGTACTTAATTTATATAACTTAGACTTGTGTAGTTGAAGAAAAGAACTAAGTACCTCAATATCTGCACTGAGTCACTCAGCCCAAATAAAGGATGCCAATCACCATTAAGTCTGTTTGAATCTTAGGCTGCTCCATGGGGTAATTCATTTCTCCATAGTGAGGTGTCTTCTGAGGCTACAGAGGACCAAACAGGAATAGTAGATAACCTGCATCCTCACTTCTTAGAAAGCAGTCAGCTTTTATATACTGTTCTATGTGTAGGAGGCTCATTCCAGAAACAGGACATCTGTAGTTTAAGCCCTGTTTAGACTGAAGAGGTTGAACCTGTGTCTCAGAAAAGTGACTTTATCATCAAGCTATTACACATCCCTTTCTTCTCTGGAGCATGAAGTCTCATCTGAAGCTCAGATACTGTGTGTCTGGGAATGTAAGTGTGTGGTGATAGCAAATAAAGCTTATTTTTAGTGTAGCAGATTCCAGACCTGAAACCCAGAATGTATATTGATCTTGTATTAGACCACTACTGGGTAAGAAACCAGGAAGAATCTTACAAAGCTGAGGCCAGACCTTCACCACTGTCACCCTTGATGACTGCCTTCATCAGCTGACTGCAGAAGAGTTCTTGTTTCTTGTGCTCTGCATAACACCTGGAAGCCTGTCTCAAGGAGTGTAGCAGATGCACCACTCTGTGGATGACAGAGCATCTCACAGTTTCAGGATGCATTGAATTTAGATGCCTGAATACGGGTTACAATGAAAGTTTAGTCAAGAATTAGGTGCACAGCTGCCTAGGGAAGGAGTCTAGGAAATAAAAGTATCATGAGTGTGTGTGTGGCAAATAAGTTTCAAGAACTTCTATACTAAGTGGAAAAATCTTAGGTGCTTACATCCTAAATTATCTAGGTAGACGAAGTCCTATACTAGAAGTTTTTCACGGGTGTTAGCCTCCACATTGGCATCAACCAACATGGTTTTCCTTTGGTGTATTTTATGTGTTGTAATTTTAGCTTTCCCTTTGCTTCATTTAGATCAGGATTGCATCGTCACAGTTCTTAGATGTTCAAAGCACTTTAAAGTGTCATTCCTACATGAGTAAAAAATTGCTGAATGAAGGATTTGTAGTTTCTGCTCTGTTAGTCAGCTGCTTAAGTCTTTCAGTGTTGAGCATCACACCTGTACATTCGTGTGGGACTTTCACCCTACGGATTGAATAATTCAATGTACTTCACTTTTTGGTGTCAGAAATCTTTTCTGAATACAACTCAACAAACCTATTAAAAAATAATTTCCTTATCAACTTTTCTGTTACAGATGTGGCATCCCTTGTTAATTTCACAGCATAAAATATATGTAATGTTCTATGAGGTGTGACAGGATTATTTTGCATTTATTGGTTAAGAATTGAGAAGAGTCTAAGAAAATCAGGTTCTATCCAGGCATAATACTCAGCTCAGAATTCAATTCCAACACTTAGCACACAAGTGGGCTCCAAGGTCTAATGCCAGACTCCCAGATAATGAAGACCATGCAATTAGTAAATAACTTTTGAATTGTTTTAAGGGATCCACACCTTGATACACTAGAGCTCTGAGAAAGAGGAAGGGATAGAATCGAGTCTTCTTGAACTGCACCTGGCTGTCCTAAACAATTGTCCTTTCTCTATTTGTGAATACTAAAGACAAAGTTCTTGTAGGAAAATACCATACCATCTGAATACTGTCAAAATATTTATGCGCAGGAGAGTCAGAATTACATCAGTCCTATTCCCAATCTCATTTTCCATGTCCAGTGTGCTTGTCTAACTCCTTGTTTCTCATTTTTCTTTCCAATTTCTTGCCTTGATGTGTCAGATTTTCTTTCATCCCAATCTCTCTGTGCAATGTATTTTGCACCAGTTACAGAATGGCTGGTTGTTTTGTCAGCTCATTCCATTTCTCTCATTCAGGCTGTTTTGCCCCTCTTTTCTTCTATGGTCCCTGATGTTAGTGGCTCCATTCTTCCTGTGTTTCACTAAGAGGCATCCAATATCCCTTACTTTCCTCGTAAATCTAAAGTAGTTTTTGATTTGTCCCTCCTTCTTTCTAACCCCTTGAGAATGCACTGCCATCATTCAGTCCATGGGGTTCTTTGTCCAGTCTCTTACTCCCAGTTTCTTCCCTTCTCTTTGCATCCAATTCAAATGACTTCTTGGGTTGCAAGTGCCTGTACTGTATATTGGAGTGCTAGCAGCTTGAGAAGAGTATCTTCTGGTCATAGCTCTCCCTCCTGACCTTTCCTGTAACTAGGCAAATTATGGGGAATTACAGGGAAAATATGCCCATTAGGCACAAGCTTTTCAATTTTTTTTTTCTCAGAGCATTAAGAGAAAAGTAGAAGTTATGTCAATCCAAATTTTAAGTTCTTGTTCCAAAACACAAATGTTAGATCATCTAAAAGAAATATTGTCAGATGATTTAAGTTTCTTATTTGAGTCATTCTCCAGTCATCTTGGCTGAAGTTTTCCTGCAAAAATCTGGTCTGAAGCAAATGTAGCAAATAAATATTTGGCCTTAATATCAACAAACAATTTTGGTTGTATTTTAGGCACCCTCACTCAGTCACAGTTTGTGACAGTGTATGGATCACAAATATGTTGCATTCTGCTTAAGCAAGGCTAATTTCTCCCAAAAAAGTAGCAGAAGAAGGTTCTCTCCAGTGCTACTTCTCTTGGGGCATAGGTCTCTTCCTTAAAGACTCCTAAGGAACCCTGCAGGTGGATACATTTAGTGTCAGAGAGCATTGAAGTTGACTTCAGAGGTCATTAAAGCTTTGCTTTGGATTCATGTTGTTGGTGCAAAGCTTTCTGCTTGTCATCTGTAGCTGGGTGAAGATACCTGTACTCCAGAAAACATTCAGTTTAGAAGAAAATACTGAAAAAGCCCCTTTCTTTGCAGGAATGTAGGAACAGCATCTGCAACTCTCTTGAATCTAATGTATTGAGGATAATTTCCCTTACACAGATTTCTGCTGTACTAGCCACAGAGCTCTTTTAACTGTTGGTACCAGAAACCTATAAAGGCAGTAGGGGGAACAATGGCATGATAATAGAGGACAGTTATCCTTTCCCTTTTAATATCTATTCAAACACTGCTGGTTGGTGGCTACAGGAGTTGCAAGATCTAAAGTAATGGAGAAGGAAGAAGTACAGTACCACCATTGATTGAGTTAGTGTGTCTTAGCGTAATGTCACGGAAGTATTAGGAATGGCAGGAAGCTAAAAAAGCCTCTTGTTGATGGGTCAAAAGTCTTGATAACTGCATCAAGATCTTTCTTTAAGTGACCGGAATGCTGAAGAATAGGAGTTATGACAGCAGATGGAGACCCTGTCTCTGAAATGATGTGAGATGGGCTCCACAGGAAGTGCACCTTCCCCTGGTTATGTTTACCTTAGTTAGGGTATATTCAAGCCTAAAGGTGCACTGCTTGGTTAGGTGTGGAGTTGGGCATTATCCTCTTTGATTCCCCTAAGTTCAGGCAGGGTCAGTGTTTCCATTAAATGTCCTAGTTTGTCCTCTGTCTCAGGGATACGCCCCATGATGAGAGCTTCCTCTGCCAGATGTGGTTAATGATTTTGCAGTTGTACCACCATGTAATGACTCCCTGGCTGTTTGGAAAGCTTTGTTTTGTCCTAACTGCAACATTTCCCCCTTCAGCAGTGAGTGCTCTAAAGTAGGTGTATCCTCTCCTTGAATAACTTATTTGCAGCTATAGCATTCAAACTGAAATAGCTAAATAGCAGCTAATAACTGTAGTAAAAAAACCATAGCAGACCAAGTCTAAGACTGATTTATAATAGTTTCTACAGATGAGTAATAGTAGTTTTTGCCTTGTTGTTACTGAGTTGGACTGTGAAGAGGGTTGGACTACTAAGCCTCCCTCTCTTACAATTTCTGCAGGGCTTACATGATTTCAGCATGGGTCTCTGCATCTTGAAAAACATTTAGAGATTTGAAATATTATCCTATAGCCTTTCCAGTACAACAGGATGTGAAAAATTTATTAATTCATTGTGCATAAATGGCTTAGAAATGTATATATATGACCATCAGTAATGCAAAGTAATACAATATCACTTCTGAGAGAGAATAATCCTAACCAGAGCACCATGTGGAAAATATTTAGTATGAAATAATGTACTTATTGTACAGGATTTTTTAAAAAGAGTAACTTCTGGTATATACTGAAGTTTTTATGCTTTGTTATAAATACAAAGTAGAACATGATATTTTCTGTTTAAGTAACCAATATAAATAGAAACTTATGAGCAAAATTAATTTTAAGGATTAATATGCCGTTTTGTTGTAGAAATAAGTTCACTAATTAATATTTTCTCATTACAGATAAAACTGTGGTATGACAAGGTTGGTCATCAGTTAATAGTTACAATATTGGGAGCAAAGGATCTTCCTTCAAGGGAAGATGGGAGACCAAGGAATCCTTATGTTAAAATTTACTTTCTTCCAGACAGAAGGTAGGGTGAACACAAAGACAAGGAACATTTGAGTAAGAATTGGTCTGATACTCAGGTGGCACGGACAGCTGAGTCTACTGGTTATACATATACAGAAGAATCTTACAGTTTGGAGTTTCTTTAGTTTTTGTTATGTGACAGCAATGAGTCTTTGAACACTAAACACAAATTCATTTTTACTGAATATATTATTAAATACCGAATAGAAAAGGAAAAGTAAACATATGTCATTGCATGGGCATCCATTACTGGCAAAGAATGTTGTTAGTGTTTTATAAAGCCCTTATTTCCTATGACAGCTATCCCTGTTCAGTACAAAAAAAATGCTACAAAGTTAGGTTCCCATATTTCTGGACTGATTAGTCCAGCAGTTTGGTTTTTTTGGACCACACCTTCACAAAGCAGAGCGGGAACAGATTTGGCCATAGATTTCATATCACAGTAAATGTGAGTTAAGGCTGAAGCCGACTCAGTTGAGATTGTCCAGGTGCACCTTGAAAGCTTCCCCTAAAGCACAGGACAGGACTGATATTAACAAGGACTGGCATTATATATGCATTTAGGGAAAATTAAACTGTGGTAGGAACCCTTATTCCTGAATAGCTCCTTCATTTTTTAGTCCACAATTTTCTGCCATTTCAACTTAGGTGGTGGGAAGAACAGCAATGTGGATAATGTGTTCCCAGGTTAATTTTTTAAAATTAATGTTTCCTCAGATAGTGTCAGCAGGGGAAAATGTTTAGCTTTATTTTGTAGTGTATCAAATAATTCAAAGATTTAACCTGACTCAGTATATGAAAGATTGACCAGTGGACTGGTGAATCTGTAGAATAGCAAGTAACTTTACAGTTTATATTTTTCATCCTTTGCTTTTCTTAATATCTAAACTGGGAAGATGCGAACTATCTTCAGTACAAATTGACTTCAGCAGAAATTAAGGCAATTCAGTGTTTTGGAAGACACTGCTTTTCCACTTCCATTGTATGCCATGTGTTGACATAAATTTCTGTGATTGCATTATTTGCTGTATCATTGATGACAAAAAACTTTTGGATGGATTTTCTTGAACTCACCAATATTTGAACCGTTGTATTAGATTCTTAGTTTATTCAAATTGCTGTAGTATGTTTGGAGATGCTGAAGCTGTGCTAAACAGAATCAGGTCTGTTTAAATTATCTTATCTGCTTTTTCAAGATTAAGAAAGCTATCAAAAATGTCTGTGTTCAGAATGCTTCACAATGTAAGCTGTAATAAATAGAAATACATAGAAGAAAATTATTTTATTAGATACTTTCAAGCACACAGATACAAAAAGTTACTTAACATGAAATTTTATTATGTTATACTGGTGTATTTATGTGAAGTATTCAGAACTTTAATTATTACATGTGTTTTTCATCACTTATATAAGAGTCAGCAGTTTGTCTTATTGAATTGGTGTTTTTCTTTTGACATGCAAATTAATTTTCCTTTCCTTAGAGGTAAAAGCTAAATGAGCAATAATATATTTCCTGTGTACTAGAAGGAAACGTGCTAGAGGTAAAACACACTTAAAGAAACCAAGCACTTTAATTAGATGAAGATACGGAACTCTCTTTGATTAAACAAATTTCATTGGAAATGCTTGTCCAATGTAACTTATTTCACCTCTCAAGGGTAAACAGATCTTTAGCATAATAGAAATAATTACATTATTTGTTTTAACAATGCATCTAAAAATATTATTTCTTAGTTAATATTTTGTTCTAGGTTCTAATTAACAGTTCAGAAATACAATAACTAAATTACAGTTGCAAGTATTAGCAAACGGACAGTATCTGCATTGCTGTATTAAAAAATCCACATAACTTAGTACCATGGCTGCATTATACAGCAATCAGCAGATTTAAAGTGAAGCACTATTATGAGAACTCATCAGTATTCTCAGTAGAAGGAGCATGGGTGTTTTCCAGCGAAACTAGTTTCAATCAGAAAATATTAATTCTTTCAAGTAGAATTATTCTGCAAAACACATTGCTTTCAACAGCACCCTGGAGCCAGAGCCAGGAATTCCAGGGTAGCTTTGCATGGAGACCTCATCAGGCTCTGAGATATAGAGCCAACCTTGTAGTGGAGATCCACCTTCAACTTGGACAGATCCTTGGGGTGACCCAAAGGATTTCAGGAGCTGTTTTGAGAACACTGCTCCTTCCAGTGTTTCTGGAAAAAGACATAACTCGTTTTCAGGGCTTCTGGTTTCCTTAGGTTTCCTAAAGGCTGTGGAGCCCTTAGTAAGGGAAACCCCACGGAGAAGGCCCTGCACTGCTTGCAGCTGTCTGAGCATTCCTTCATGTAGGCCAACTGCTGCATCCTGCTTTGCAGTTTGTCAGCAGTTGTAGGACTGGGAGCTTGAGTGAACCAGTTGGTTCGTTTATCTGAAATGCAGATTTTTGCTATGCCCAATGTTGTCTGCATAAGTGTTTTACTCTCGGACTGTGCCTCATGGAATTCTCATTTACAAAAGTGTATTTTGCTTTATAAAATGCTGTTTCCAAAACAAAAATGGTAAAACACTTCTGTTTTTCAGGAATTTTTTTAAAATTAGAATTGGCACATGAACTTGAAATCACCTAACTTTAGTTTTTAATATGAAGTTATGAATTATCCTCAATATATATGCTGAACTTTATCATAAAGGACTAATCCAAACATACACTATAGTTCCCGTAACGCTACAAAATGTACTGCTGATTTAAGATTTCCAACTTTAAAAGATATACTTATTACAGTATAATGGTCTTTTGAATATTTTTAATATTTTTTTTTTCAGTGATAAAAATAAAAGAAGAACAAAAACAGTAAAGAAAACGTTGGAACCTAAGTGGAATCAGACATTCATTTATTCTCCAGTTCATCGGAGAGAGTTTAGAGAACGAATGTTAGAAATAACTCTTTGGGACCAAGCACGAGTTCGAGAGGAAGAAAGTGAATTTTTAGGAGAGGTATACAATTATTGGTAGTTAGTATAGAGATACAGTTGCTCATATATTAATGACTAGATACAGTATTTTTTAAAAAAATGGTTAAATATAGCAAAGCAAAACTGTTTTACTTTATTGTGTTTGTCTTTATTTCACTTGGTAGTAAACAGGGATCTCACATTTGTCACATAGTACTGATATGAAATTCATTTTGTATTTGTTTTGTTTTAGTAGCAGCGTGCACATGATTTCTCAATTTCTTTAAGAGTTGTTCATTAAATTACATATTATCCATAGCAAAATGCTGGAATGTTGCTAAGTTGCTACAAGATATTTGAATGCTGTAAACATCATAATAAGGTAACGAAGATTTTGTGAAATATTTTTGTTATATTTAGTGCTGTAAAATGGACAGGGACTCCTTTCATATTAAATGCAAGATTTTTAGAAAACTTCAGAAAAGGCCTTAACAGTAAGAGAATAATAGAATAAAATTTACAAACATACCTATTTGTTATGTTATGTAATGCTTTCCTACTTTTACCCATTTTTTCTTTTTTAGATTCTTATTGAGTTAGAGACAGCATTATTAGATGATGAACCTCACTGGTACAAACTTCAAACGCATGATGTCTCTTCATTACCACTTCCCCATCCCTCACCATATTTGCCACGCAGACAACTCCATGGCGAGAGTCCCACACGGAGGTTACAAAGTAGGTTGCTAGTTTTACACACTGTGTATAGTTCATTTGAATTAGAGTGTAAAATATATTAAATTCTCATAGATGGGAAGCTGACAGAATTTGTGTGTTCATTTGTAGCTGTTCTGAATTAGGTCATTTGTGATTACTGATAGGAGTCTGACAAATGGAAATATTGAACACTGTGCAATACACTAGTTTTTTCTTATGAAGCTGCCTAGTTCAGATCTTAAGCTTGAGCAAATTATCTTTGTCTTTTCCAATCTGCTGGTTTTATCTTGAAGTCTTATATCATGTTTATAATTTCATTCTTTAATCAAAAATGAATGTGCACTACCTTTCTCTTTAGCTTATACTTCTTAAGAGTATAACATTGTATGTAGCTAAATTAATACCCTGGCCTGTTCCATTGTTTTGATGTTATTTTACGTGGTTACATTCACAAATAGAATTTCTTTTAAAATTCTATTTTGTAGAGTTTGGTATATTTGATCCACTGTAGTTTAATGTTATCAGAAGATATTTTGAAAATAGAGTATATACAGTATGCTAATAAAAATAGATACATATGAATAAGACAGTAATGGGTGACAATCTGTTTCCTTAATACTTCCTTGTTTCGCTAGTTTAACTGCTCAGTACTGTCAAAGATTTAAAGCTATCCTTTACTGAATTAACTTTATAAAATACCAGTTGTCACTGATATATAAAACAAACAACCCCAACAAACCAAAAACTATTTCTAAGAATTCTTTGGGGTTTTTTGAGTCATTTTTTGTGAGTATGTGTGTGCATACATTACACACAAACTTGCGGAAACATATCCATGTATAGCCACGCAACCAAGCTTAGATATTGCATATGTTCTATGTGGATTTTCTATTAAATAGTCCCTCTTATATAAGGATTTCAAGTAGCTGATAGTTTTTGTGTCTGTGCACTGGATGGTGAGAAGGATTAAAATGCTCCATATCATAATATTCTGAGATAGATACATTAGCAGAGAATTACAGTGCATAGCCTTCAAGATGTAAGATTATACTGATGCATGAAAGGAGGAGAGAAATGGTAGAGAGTTCTGTTTCCATTCAGTTCTCTTCAGTCTTCTCAAGTACCATGACTGTTCAAGTAATGCCTTAGAATTATTTTTCTTCTATATTTTCTGCCATCTTGTAACACAATTTAGGATGTTAAATATTCCGTGTAAAATTACGTTTACAGACCAACTGGACATTTCAGTATCTGTCTGTATGTGTAGTCAGTGAAATACTGATTTTCAGGAAATATTCATTCCTGCAAAGAAACCCTGTTTGTTTATATTAATTCCTGTCTCTGGAATAAATAACTAACATGAAGAATGAATAAAACCATAACTGATTTGTTTTGGAAAAGATTGTAGTAATACTTGACTAAAGATCTGTTCAATGATACTGACTTCAAATTTGGTAGTCAATAAGTTTTTTAATACTAATCAATAGTAATATTAATACTAGTACTAATACTAATAATGTGCTCAACTGAAAAATCTTATATACCTGTCTGGAAATGTAAAAGGAAGGACTTATCAAAACTTCTCGTTTTGTGAAGCACTCAGATTTGGTGTAGAAGTGCTGCTTTTCAATGGATATGATTTAACCTGACTGTTCCCAAAGCAGTACTTTGACAACTTAGGGTTCAAAAACTTCAGCAAAATAAGCAATGTCAGAGATTGTTGGCAAATTCACATTCTCCTAAAATAAACTGTGCTATTTGCATTCCTACTGAGATTGAGATCCCAGAAAGGAGGGTTTTCTCTATTGTCCTGGGAATATATGCACTTCTTGAATCCTTCTGTGTTATAATTTTCAGTTTAAACATATAGTTTTACAGGTACGGGTATAGAGAACAGGGTCTCTTGAAATTAAAATCTCTCTTTTTGAGGGATTAGAAAGTCATCCAAATAGAAATTTAGCATCTGGTCAGAGTTCTGCAATGGTACCAGGGTCCATTTAGCAATTAAAAAGTACATTTTTTAAAAATTGGTGACACACCTCTGAAATTGAAATAAAAGTATTTATTTGTGTCCAGAGAGATGACTGAATATCCTATTGGAGATATCCAGAACTCAGGTGGACAAGGCCATAAGCAATTGCACCAGATGACCTCCAGAAAGCCCTTCCCAACCTAAACGTCATCACCAGGGGACTGGGGAAGGCCAGATGGCACATCTTATGGCTCTTTGTCTTCACTAGTATTCAGAATACATTGCTATAGAGAAGTCTGGTTCTTTTACCTTTTTTTGATAATTTTGAAGGAATACAAAGTTAAACTTAATTTCTTGTGTCTGAAGTTTTTTTGTAAACTTCAATAACAACTCTTGTTAACTCTGTTGAAACAGAAGACATTATTCAGTGGCCCATTAAGACAATGTGAAAAAAATCTACAGAAGGAGGACAAGCCATGTCTAGCAAATTTTTCTGTCTTCTTCAATGCACATCTTAGACTGCTTACTGTGCTGTTACACCGTAAACTGATTTCAATTTCTGGGGCTGCAAAATCTGAGCAGTTCAGTCCTCCCACCTTTTGCTAATTTCTGTGATGCCTCTATGTATTGAATTAGTGAGTACAATATGAAGTACTTTACTGCATGCTCTCAAAAATTGTCAGTATGAGAAATAACAAGAGAGAGATTTTGAATTACAGGATTGTTGTTTGTATAAATACGCATCTACACTTCTACGCTTTCTTATCTTCATAATTGTCAAGTTGCTATAAATGCTTATATTTGAAGACAATACTTAAATGTTATTCTCCAAAGGTATTTTTAAAAAGCCACCTACACTTACCACTTACTTCTATCTTCTTTTTAATAGCACTGCATTGTAGCATTCCTGACAAAGAGCAGACTGTCAGCCCTGAACACTGAACTCCTATATTTACAGACAGCCAGTAGTGAAGTGCAAGCTTCCCACAGAGCCCCATATGCCATTTTTTTTAGAAACCAGCTTTCAGAGATGATAGCTTAGTTTCTACATATATTTATCTCTCAAAATCTTTGAGTGGGCATTGTGTTGTGGTACAGACTGATCTAAGCCAGCTGTCCAACTTTTCTTGCCCAGTCCTCTGATCCATAAAATCCATTAACTTCCTAGTAATGAAGGATTATTGCCGTGCTTTTTCCTTAGTATTTTTTGAAAGACATCTACTTAGAAACTGGAACTAACGTAGAACATAGGATTATCACTTACTAGGTATTTCAGCTAATGATATTTCAGATTTTCATAAACTGCCTGTTTTTTATCCAATGAGTGTATTTTAAGCTTTTTCTTATGTGAAATACGAGGTAATGCATAGGTGTATTTTACTTATCATGCTGAACTTGGAAGTAAATTTTTAAAATGGCTCAATTTTCAGTAACATTTGAAATAAAATCAGCCATACATCAAGAACTCCAGGCAGCATTAACTGGAATTACAGACAAACTGAAGTTCTTTTTATATTGCCTCTGAAAGGAGATTGTATAAACTAAATTAAAGATTATTTTTAAAAAGATTTGGGAATTCCTGTGGTTGGTTATGTCACAGTGTTATTGCTCCATCTCATATTAGGTAAGAAGCTTACTACAGATTACACTGAAAACTGCATGTGGTTTGAATGTTTTGTTCATAGTTAGGATCAGTGGGATGGAAGTTACTGTTAGCATTACTCTTCATTGAGAATGATACAGAAATCAAGCAGGGCTTATGCCATGGGGCTGCAAGTCAAAAATTACTTCCTCTCTATGTAGCCCAGAATACAGAGATAACAGACATCAGATAGGATCTGAGATACTCAGTCTTTTACAGTTAGGTGCAGGTAATGTGTGCATTTGTGCGGAGTGAGCTGGTATTGCTTAGTTGATTAAAAATACTGGGTTATTGTGTATTTTAAAGAACAACAATTGGTTTTAGTTCTGTGTTGACTCTGAATTTATTTTGGAAGCAGAGTTTGTTTTACTTCAAGTATTTTCAGAATGCCCAATTACTTAGGATTAAAAAGTAACCGACAGTAGTTTTCTAAGTCAGATTTTGCAGCTTTAAAACCAAGCTGTCTGAATTATTGATCTGCAGACCACTGAGAGTGGGTGTAAAGTGTAGATAACAGCTAAATGCCAACACAAGGGAAGAAATGTGAAAATGTGAAAATAAAAGTAAAACCAGACATTTTCAAGTCTGTAGTTAAAGCATAGGTATGTACAGCAACAAAAGAAGAGCTTTGAATTGCCATGAGAATGCACAATATGGTTTGAAAAAGAAAAGAGAAGTTTTGTGTTTTAAGCATTCTCAGAAAGGGAGTAAATCTATGTGAGATAGATAAACTCTGCTGAAAACAAAGTCTAACAGATTTTACAAGTGACAGTTTGGAAATCAACATAGAGAAGTCCAGAATGGTGGAACAAATTGTATTTTTTCAAGAAATGAACATCAGAAAAATCACTCAGGATCAAAATAATTGTAAATAAATAGACTGTGAGTAGCTTTCTTTTAAAAAGAATTTGACTTTCATTACTTTTGGAATGAAAGTAATCAATTACTCCATTCATTGAGTTTCATGATTCTTACGGCATATAAAAAAAGATCTGGAAGGAGAGGAATTATAGTGTTGAGTATTTAAACTATGGGCACGAAAATTCAGTGTAGTTATGTTCTACAAAAAAAATCTTCACAAAATGTGCAAAAACTATATAAAACATTCCTTTTCTGAATTTTATTTATTCATTCAGATGGGAACATAAAATTCTATAATGCATAAGCAAAGTGTTTTGAATCACATGAAAAGTTTCTGTCATCTTTTGTCAGATTTGTACATTTTCCTAAGTCAGATTGTTTTTTCTGAGGCAATGCTGAGACTTTAACATGCTAAAAATTATTACATCCCACTAGAAAAAAATGAATTGGTAGACTGATTTCACAAATAAAAGACCCCATTGCTTATTAATTTTTGAAAAATATTTTTAGATAGACTTTTCATTGCTGACATCAAATTAAAGATGA